TATTGTTCGGAATTATGAAATAATCTTGAAATTGGTACTAAGTGGAATAACCTGCAATTTAAAATTTGTATACATGCTTTTTTGACTAGTCAACCACACTCATCAACTAAGCTCAGATATGTTAGTTTACTCATAGCAGAAGAAGTCAAATTAAAGTTCAGTTTACTAAAAAGTTCCCAGTTAACTAAGGTCTAGCTTAGTGCACATTTTAATACTAACAAGTTTAGTTGTAAGGACTTATCTATTTGTGGATAATAGATTGCATGGGATGTTTTTGGCCGAAAAAACCCACCTCCAGGTTAAAAAACCGGGGACTTTCCACTATATCCAATCCATTATTGAAATCAAGATTCTTCTAAAGTAACCACACAAGCTCAATTCCTAGATCCTAATCAACAGAGCAGCTTGTACCTTTGTGCAACCTTGTTAGTTTCACCAGTCAAACACTTGAAAGATGAAACTGATGCGAATAAAAAATGAGGTCAGTTCAAAGATTTGAAACTTATAAAAACTTAACATGAAACAAAGATCAAAATCACAAAGGCAATGCTACCCTAATATGCAATGATCTGGGTGTTTAGTGCACGACTGTGATTTTGTGGCTAGGGTTTTCAAGTGAGAACCAAGGGGCAACTCCAAGCTAAAATCAACTTTTTTCATAAAATAAACTCTCCTAACCAATCTGAAATGAAACCCTAGATGATGATTTTGTGGCTTGTTTCAGACAGAGAGATGGGGATGGAAATGCCACGTGTCATGTGTAAAAACAAGCTGAAAAGATCTAGGGTTGAAAAACGCTCTCACGGAAAAGGCTGTCAGAATGCTTATATGGGTTGTCTTAAAGTGTGTGCCAAACCGCGTGAAAGCAATGAGAAGTTTTGACTAGACAGAACCATTAGACATAATGAATTGGAAATAATGGCATGAAATGCATATGTGTGAACAAACCTTTGATGAGAGAAATTGAGCTCTTGAGATTAATATTTCCAACAACATGATCCCAGAGAAGCAATTAAATCCTAAAATTAACTGGAGCATGTGTGGTATAATTTACAACATTTGACAAGGGAAGTCAAACAATAAAATAAGGACACACATGTAAGAGTACTTTAAGGGGATGCCTTAATTATATTTACAGTCATAAATAGTATTATATTGACTAGAATTATCGAAATATTGTGGCATGATTATATATATCTGTTATCTGCTCATTGTGTGCTACACAAGTGTTAGTACTCGCTCGAGCCAGGGCCAGTCTTCATGTGCATGTTTACATTGCACCTATGCTCACTTTGGATCCATTGTAGGTGCCAGTCATGTCCTAGATTGCTATAGGCAATTAGGATTCGTATGTGATACGCATAGGGTTAGTCTTCACATGATTGTAGTACTAGAGCGTAAATCATTATTACACCAGTCCTATTCATGCCAGAATATCTCTTCATGATCTCGTGTGTCAGCATATGTCGATGAACACTCGATATGATGTGTTTATTTACAAAATATTGTGAAGTAGTGCATTCCAAAGATATTACGGTTTAGGATAAGTATTTTCATACTATACGTAGTATGCTATTTTTGGAAACTATACTTGTTTTACAGAGAAGGGTTATTATGCTTTCAAAAAGGTTTTACAAAGCTTTATTTTTAGGCCCACACACCCTTATTTTTCACCACTTCAGGATTATTGGCAAATGTTGGTATAGGAGGGTACCTTCGATGGTATAATTTTTATCCTACTTTTATTGTACTATGCATATGCTCTGACATCACGTGTGAAATGAGTTTATTTCCGCTCACATGTACACTCTTGGATTTAGTCACTTTAGGTTTAAATTTACTCATATTTCCACATCACTATACTTTATGGCTTCGTCATCTTCCTAATGTCGATCAGCACAGATCGATTTGGAATCTAGGTGAACATCCTAGGTCGAGATGTATCACAGCTCAATGTGAATTGGAACTAATAAGTCATTGCAACTATATTAAATAGTTTAATTACAAAATTCCATCCAAGTTGTTATTGCTACTCTAGCACATACTACTTTTTTTTTATCATCAAGACCTCGGTCATTGGTGCTGTCTAGACTTATTGTTTGTCTAAGGGATTGACTAATGGCTAGGGATAGGAATTATGTACATTGAGTTCACATATAATCCAAGTCTCAAAAAAAGAAAACAAAAATTATTAAATTGGTTAGAGAAGTGTGTTTTTCACTCTACATGTAAGTTTAAATCTTCATCCGTAATTTAGATTAATTTAGTATACTCCCTCATATGCGTCCTAAACATGAGTGCATATTTACTTTTTAACGTGAACTTCTCATGTTCCCCGTGATTCTAATACTACTTTTAAGTACATGTTTTTGGCATTGTCAATATCTCGTTTGTGTGAAATCTATAAGTCTAGGACCTCGTATTGTGACTGATGCAAGAAAAACCAAGGGAGTTTTAGGGAGACGGGGGATGATAATTTGGGATTTGCTCAATCAGGGGCAACGAAGTTCGCTCACGTCGCTAATCGTGAATTCGCTCACAAGACCAAGTCAAATGTTTGATTTTAGAAGGAAAATCACTCTCTTCAAATGCACAAGGCAAATACAATTTTAATTCATTTCAGTCTCATTTCTCAAGGGTTTAATGCATATATTTATAAGGAATACAACACAGTGAAACTCTAGTCCGAATTGGACTTTTGCTCTACCCAAAAATATTTAAAATATTCTTATATGACTACTTAATTATTTGTGTTGCTCTAAAACACAATTAAATATAAGGAAAACTAACGAAAAGTAAAAAAAAAACTTCTCTTTTAATGAAAAGCCTTTTTTAAAGGTATAGTGAATAGTACCAGAGAAATGTATAAATGTGATTTTTCGTTAAAAATGAACAATACGAGGAGTATTTTGTTAAATCTCTCTTAAATATATTTGATGATTCCAATACGCATGAGACTCTTGGTAGATTCCAATACAGGCATGAGAGCTTTGGTTACTGCATCAGTGACTATTGATGAATGCAGGATTTAGAAAAAGGTCTAACTTGATTTTATCGAGATACTTTTAATATGGTTGTAACTACTTTTATGTTGCATTACAAATTTAACTATGTTATAACACACGTGTTTTATTTATAAATAGTATACCTTAAAATGTAAACTTACTATCTACATATTTTAATAAATAGATTAGTAAAATCTGAACCACATTAAGTTATTTATTTATTTATTTTTCATAACTTCCAATACTACTGCATTCTTCCGCTGCTACATTTTGTGTTGGCTATATTGCTGCCGTACCAGAGTTGACGACGTTTCATGAAATTTTTTAGCCAAAAATAAAATAAAGGATATACCATCAATAGAAAATAGGGAATTTTAATGAAATACTTTTGGTATTATTCACTTTTAACTTTAAATATATTTTTACTCTGAAAAGTTATTCATGATACTATTCATTTACAAAACATTTTTGTCATTTTGATTAAAATTCAAAATTTTCAAACAATTTCATTAGTTTTCCTTAAAAAATATACACGTTAAATCAATACTTAACTAATAATTTAATAATTATTAACCACATCATGTAATTTATAAATTTTACTTTAAATAATTTATCTTCCTCGCAATACCCCTCTCTACCTCGTTCCAATTCTGTGAAGATAGCGACAGCAATATAGCAAAATTCCCGTATATAGTGTCGTGTTTCCATGCATTGCATATCCTGCCATGATGGTCCAGGTCACGTGGACACGTGTCGTAACGTCGGTCTGGAGCTACGAAGGTTTTTGTGGTGGCTGTAAAGGGCCACATATCCACCACCCACTAGGGTTGGGGTGGGAGTTGCAAAGAATCTCTAGGAAATACTTCCCCTCCCTAATTTGTAATTGAGTTTACGTGGAAATGTCCATTACACATGAAATATCGGAAGGAAAAATAAAGATTTATGACAACCAAAAGCGATTGTGATTAAGCTTGGTAAAATAAGTTTATTGGTGTGTGTTGGTTGTAAAACAATTTTTGAAGAATCACTTTCAAATGCTTATCCATATATACACTTTATAAATTAAGTATTTTCACAAAAATTGTCTCAAATATAGCCTAAATAATTCATTTAAACCAAGTCTACAGCAAGAAATAAAACTGACACCAATTCAATTTTACAATATTTCCTGTTAGAAAAGAGTTCTCTCCAGCTCTCTTTCACCAAGGCCACCGGAACAAGTGATCCGGACCTTTCAAATTTCATCAAACGGCCAAAAATTATCACAGCTTTTAAGAGGTCAAAACAGGTGGACCGTTGGATGAAATTTGAAAAGTCCGAATCACTTAATCCGGTGACCTTAGTGGAAGAGATCTAGAGAGGATCTCTCTCCTTCCTCTTAGTTAATTGTCAGTTCATGATTAGTAAATATGGAGAGAGAGACTCATTTCTCATGTCAAATATTCAAGCATGTAATGTTGCCGAGTCTTAATTGTCAATTAGATAATCATGTTCGGAATTGTGGCTTGAGGGTATATATGTTTAGAGTTGTCAAACGAATTAAGGTATGACTAAGCCTGATTAGCTTAAAATGGGACCTAGCTCATAACTTGAGAAGGGCTGGGTCGAGGTTATGCCCAACAAGGTCAACCCAACCTATTTACCAAGTGGGCCGATTGAAACACGGCTCAAACACGCATAGGCTGACTTTAAACTGGTTGTTCTGTTTGAGAACTCTGTACACACTAGACAAAGAGTGATCCGAATTTCCAATCTGTCAATATAAATTTTATGTCACCAATTACCTTGTGCGTGTACAAAATACTCTCTTGTGATACTGTTAATCTGAACCACTAATCAAGTCGGTTGTGACTTTGAACAACTAATCAACTGATTGCTAAATGTTCAATTCAGATTCACAATCTGATAATATAAGCATTTGTTTGTTAACATAAGCATTTGTTTGCAATCATGTTTATTTATAATTATATACGAAATCACTGCAGAAAGATCATATGAAAAGTAAATTCTGCTTGCTTCATACTATCCTAACTACCGTCATCGACGTCTTTATAATCGCCTTCCGCAATCCACACTTACTAAAAGGCAAGATAAATCACAGAGCATAAATTAACTAGAGTGCAGAAAGATGGCCTTGCTCCAACAAAGAGTCAATGCAATCATCAAACATCTCCTGGATAGTCTTGAACTTGAATCCTAAACTCTGCAACTTTGACGTGTCGAACTCATAATATGGTCTGCTTACTTGCTTCAACCTGAAAATTCCCATGTTAATTAAACTTCAAAACAACAGAGTATATATAAATTTCTGCTTGTTCAAGTTCATCTTCATATGTTTTTACTTTATTACCATGTCGTAGATCAAATGCAGCTAGCTTATCAAATTCCGATTGCTGAACTTATCAAAATCAAACACCGATGACATACGAATCACACATTGACGACATAATCTTTTCAGCAATTGGGATTTGATCGATTTACCTTTTGGCAATAGGTAAGGAAGGATATCGCATGGATAATAAGGAAGCCAACTCATCGTTGTCCAAAACTGTTGAGCTACAAAGATATCGACCATGAGCACTTTCATGCTCATAAACTAAGATGTGACAGAGTGCAACATCATCAATGTGAACATATCCCATTCTTCCATACCATACTGTATCGCCTGCTTAATTGCTCGGAAAAAACAAAAACAAAAAAGAACCATTTATATTAAACCAAGATAAATGAGTGAAAATCATGCATAATCTACAGTGTATCAGTTTGATTTACATAAACCAGACAGCAGCAGCCGTACCTTAAGCAGGCTGAGAACCCGCGATGCAGTATGAGATAGATCAGGTGACAAACTAGGTCCAATCACCCACGCAGGTATAACAGTTACTAAATCGATCCCATTCTCTTTGCAAAAATCCCCTGCTGCCTTCTCGGCTAGAACTTTTGATAAAGGGTACCAGAGCTTTTGTAACAGGTACACATACGGCCAGACCAACAAAGCGAACCATGAAAGCATACATAATTTGTCAGTTAAATCAGTTACATGGTTACATATATTATATAATATACATGGCATAAGCATATATTGAGATTAGGAAATTTACTTGCAGAGATCATAAATCTGCAGCGCTTTGCATCTTATTACTTGGTTCACAACTATATTTAATTGTCCCAAAAAAAATTGAATACTGAAGATTTTATGTGAATTAGGTGATGAAAGCAACCTGAAGTCTTTGGCAGTATTCCACAGAGCTCCAAGATGACTCATCCAGTTTTAAACTGGAGGCGAAATCTTCATCCGGTTTCACCCTTAGAGTTGAAGAAGATGAAGTGAAAACCACTCGCCTCAGAGACGGATTTTTCTTACACGAACGCAACACGTTCAAGGTACCCTCAATCGCTGGCTCCAGGATTTCTCTCTGTATGTGCATGATACAAAATAACAACATTACTCAATTTGTGTAATGGGTAGCCAGAAACTTCACATGTTATGTTACTAGACTATCAATTTGAACTATTGATACGGTAAACTTCTGCTCAATGTACAATCCAGATTGAAGATTTTGCAACATCATATGCCAAGTGTTCAGGAATCAGGATTTAAAAAGTTCCATTTTTAGGGCATATATTATCTCAGATAAGATGCAACATGCCTTTGGATTAGATGAAGGTTTCTCCATTACAGGGGAAGCAGAATGGAAGACACCATGGCAGCCCAAGATTGCATCATCAAAGCTGCATTCTTTGGTTAAATCAGCCTCCACCAATCTGAGTCTTTCCTTAGCTCCTTCCAGCTTCCATAAATGCGCCAATTTCTTCTGGTTTCCTTTGAATGCATTGCACAAACCAGATTATCATAGTCTTATAAACATTCTGTGTGCAGACGTCTGTTATTTGTTAAAGGAAAAATTTTGTACCAATGACACAATAATAAGCTTTTCTGTCAACAGGCATATTATCTACCAGTATCATCGACATATCATCGATACAAAATCTGTCATTTAATAAAGAAATGCACTGCAGGTTTTGATCATGCAGATTGACGGGGGGATTACCTAGATCTCTGACGGTTCCAATTACATGATAGCCCGACAAGAGAAGCTGCTTTATAAGGCAAGATGCCAGATAGCCGGAAGCCCCCGTAACACAAACTTTGCCTTTGGATTCAAGTTTTTCATCCATCCCCTTCAAATCAGCAGCACTTTCTACTGCAAGCTGATAGATAGAGGCAGTGAAGTAGCCCTGAGGTAATTAAAAGCCAAAATATATATATTAATAACAAATGCAGATGGAAACAGCTAAGAAGAGATTGAAGAGTTTATTGGGGCCATAAAACACCAACATTGAGATATTATTCATCAGGTGAATTTCACCATCACTCGCCAAATTTCTTTCTAAATTTTTATTTATTTTTTTATTTTTTTATAATTTGAGCCACATTCTAATCTAATCTAAAATTACAGGGAGGTGGATTTAAACTTGGGTGCAAAGCAGGGGAGCACATTGCTCTATCCAACTTGGCTACATCCAAGTCTGCTGCTTTATGGTCTAATTGGTGCATTCAAATGTGTGCATTATAATTTATAGACTTTCAAACCCGACTGTCCAAACAAAATACAACACTGAAATCACACCACTGCAACCCATCAAATCTCTCCTCCTACCTTCACGCAGCTGCCCTAATCCAATGAGAAAAACAAAGTGATTCGCACGCACATTTCTTCTGGCCATGCGCTCAAATGTATATTAGAACTTTTGAATTGAATAAATCAAAGAACTAAGGATGGAAATAAACAACGTTGTGCAGATATTATTTGAAGAAAAATGCATAACTTCAATTTCGTCTCTTTTTAACATTCACTCACCAGTCAAATGCAAAATTGTCCTTACCTTTTTCATCGGTAATGAATGAGTTAACAGGACATATTCAAATCAGGGTGCATGCTTTTCGCAAATGATTTAGTGTTGATAGATGAAACGTAAGAGAGAGAGTAAATGCAAAGCTTAACCACCTTTGGAGGGAAATGTTGGAATCTCAGGTCTTCATCTAAGTAGGTCAAAGACAAAGTATATGAACTGCAAGCTCAGTGGAAATGGGGGTCCAAATGAGATAGGGGTGATGATTGAAGATCAGGAAGTATCAAAGAGTGAATGCTTTTCATTATTTTAATATATTTTGCAAAAGAACAGAGAATTTGATAGAGCTCTCAACCATAGAATACAATTTGGATGGATGAAGCAGAAGAGTGCATTGGTTGTTTTGTGTGATCATCGCATGCCACTAAAGCTCAAGGAAATTTTTTATAGGATGACAATAAGGCCAACAATGTTTAATGACACAAAATGTTAGGCGATCAAGCATCAATATGTGCAAAAGATAAGTGTAGCGGAAATAAGAATGATTCGTTGGATGTGCGAATACATGAGAAATAATAGAATTAAGGACGAGGATATCTAAGGTCAAATAAAAATGATCGCAATTGAACACAAGACGAGAGCAAATCGGTTAAGGTGGTTTGAACATGTGAATCAAAAACCTACTGATGCTCCATTAGGAAGTACGTGAGATAAAAACTCAGGGCAAAAGGAGTATAAGACGACCTAGAGGACTTGAAAGACAAGACTTAGCACAAAACCAAATGTAATGCCGTTCTAAGATTCATACAACACCCTCATCTAATATGATACAACTTTGTTGTTGTTATACTTGCTTATGCTGTTCTTATTTACTAATCTAGTAATCTTCAAAACCCATCTCCTATTTCTCTTAAGTAAATGAGAACCACAGAGTGGAAGAAAATATTTTTAATGGATCAGATTTTGTTTATGTTTGTTAGTTTTTAGATTGGATTAAGTTGGATTTCTCCTGTGAGTGAAAAAGGATGATTGCAATAAGATACCGAAGGAAGAGAGTAAAGAGAGGAAAACCAGACCTGGTTTGACCGTTTGGGAGCTCCAGCCGGCAGGAAAATGATGAGACGCAGTCGAGGAGAACCCAAATAAAAAACAAGTTCAGAGAAGCACCATTTATATTTTATTCTAAGGTGGCAAACTATGACATCATATCCCATTCGTTGAATTAGAATAATGCTGAAAGTAATGTTATTCATACCATATTTTTATACAACATTTCTATATTATTTTAGGTGATATTTGATGTAGACAGTTACATCATTTGAAAAATTTGCAAAACCCAAGAAAAGGAAAGAGATAGACTCCTCGTATACCACAATCATCATTTAATTAACTAGTTTTTCGTAATTATTAGTTTATTAAATAATGAACTAAATTTAAAAATCTGTTTAATTCAAATGATGTGGCTGTACAAGTCAAATATTACTTAAAGTGGTATGAAAATGTTGTACAAAAATATGGTATAAATAGTATTAGTCTAATACTTAAGGGGCGTTTGTTGCGCCGGACTATCTCGGACTGGATTAGCTTCAAGGACTAAGCTGGACTGGCTTAGACTAGACTAAGCTGGATTGGCTTAGACTAGACTAAACTAGACTAACTTAGTGAAGCGTTTGGTGCAGTATTAGACTAAGAAGTTGGATAATAACAAATTATAATATTATATTATTTAATATATAAATTATTAATATTTTATTATGATCTTATCTTTTTCTTCATTTTTTCCTACCATTTCCTCGTTAAATTGGATGAAGTTAGCATCGCCAAAAAATTCATCATCATCCCTGGACCGAGATCTTAGCTTTGAATGCTCGAATCTGTCATGGATTTGAAGAAGCCCAAACAGGCCGAGACTTCCAGGCCATTTTCCAGCTACATTCGACCACATTTTGGTCTCGATTCAGGTAAAATTGTAATCTTGTCACTCCCACCTTCAATTTGGTGTATTTTGTATGAAAGTTGGTTGTGAAATGGATCTGAAAGAGAGTCGGAAAATTAATGATTGATCTAGGTGACCGGAGATGACGAGGACGAGAAAGAGAGGATAGTCTTAGCTAATCCCATGATTATTGGGGGGTCTCGCTAAGACCTCTTAGTGAAGGGTTTTGTCCATGCTAGTCTCCTTTAGTCTCATTAATGTTAGTCCCAGCATGGAACAAACACAGTATTAGACTAATAGCTAGTCCAGTCCAGTCTAGTCCAACTTAGTGAGGGCAAACAAACGCCCCCTTAGAGTTCTTTAGATATTTACATATACTAAGGGGTGTATTCAATTGTAATTTTGAGGGATTTTAATTCTTTTAATGAATTTAGAGGTATTCATTCAGGAATTTAAGTGATTATCTAAAATTCAATGTATATTTAATTAAAATTTTAAAATAGTTTATTAAAATTCTTAGAAATCTGAGTATATTCAATTAAAATTTTAAAGAAATTTATAACATTACAAGTATATTCAATTAGAATTTGATTTTAAAGAATTTGACAAAGTTGAGGAATTAGAGAAAATTGGAGAAATTCTGTAATGTATTTTAAGCATATTTAAATCTTAAATATCTCTAAGAGATTTTGAGAGAATTAAATTAAAATTTTACATAAAATCTTTACAAATCACTTAAACTCGATAAAAATTCATAAATTTATAAATCTATTAAAATTTCTTAAATTTCTAATTGAATACCGGTCTTAAATTTGGGTTTTCTGACGGCCCTGTTGATCTATAGTGTGCGGATAAAAATGCCCCTGATTTTTCGCTTGCTTTGACGTTTTGCCCTTCTCGCCCGGCCCACGTGTCAATCATCGTGAGGTTTTGTGTTCAGTCTGTATCCTCCCCACTTTTTGTTCCTTCCCGTACCCATTTTTGCTTTTCTTTCGTTTTCGAAGCTCTCTATTTTTCTCCTTCTGTCGTTCTCACCTCTTTGTTTCCTCAGTCATCCTTCTGTGGACGCAGCTTTTCTCGCTGCTTCCTTCCTTCATTTTCCCGCCGTCTCCCTGCTCGCCTATCTCCCAAAATCTTTTCAATTCCGCCAGCCGCAGCCACCACTCAGACTTCCCCAAAGTAATTTCTCCTCCCTCCCTACCAGTCGTATTTAAATATGGATTTCATACGTATATATATTTAGTTCTGTTATGTTTTCTTTGTTGTTTTTCTGATTTTCTAGGTTTTGTTTGCAGCCTCTAAAGCCACCGTTATTGAAGCCACCCGTAATCCTTTGAACTGTTGTTTAAGCCATTTAGGGTAAGCAATTTCATATTTATAAAACTGATTTGGGATTTACGATGTAGGGCTTTTGAATTAGGGTTCGAATTAGAGATTTACAACTTGGGGAATTTTTTTTGTTTAGGGTTTTAATTTTGAGAAATTAGTAGGGAGAACCGCAATATATAGGATGTTAAAGTAGTCACTTCTTCCTTTCTCTCTGTTTTGAGATTATACTCTATGAGCAGAAATACAATCCTCTGTATTGGATATCTGAACAAGATATGTTTATGGAAAAATTTAATCAGTCATTGAACTATTCACGCAATTTATACACAGTTGTGAGTCAAAAATGCTTTTCTCTGAATTACTCACGCCGTCTATACACAGTTTGGGATGCTAGGGAAAAATTGAATTATTCACGCCATCTACACACCGCTGATTTGGTTAAACATTGAACAAGATGCAATGAAATTGATCTGTTGTTGTGGGGTTTTATTTTTTATTTTTTAATTGAAGGGTCTTCGTTGGTTTTGATAACAAAGAGTGTGTTTTTGTATCCATTTGCTTTTTCTTTTTGGAATTTTGTTTCTCAACCTTTTTGAGATTTATGATTTTATGTTTTTTATTTTTTAATTTTTTTATGGGTTTGTTTTGCAGGTATTCTTTGTACAGAGATGACAACAACTTGGCTGCTGCACCGTCTCTTGCCACTTGAGGGTAAGGTTCAGTTGCTTAGGTAGTTGATCATAAAGCTATGATCAGACGTTGAGTTTATTTTTGATCGAGGAATTTGAAAGCATCTTTATCTGTTTCTTTTATCGTGTTCTGATTCGATTAAATTTTAGGTTCTGGAAATTATAAGCTAGATTTTATTTTGATACAGCAATTTGGTTGCCTGTTGTGTTTATGATGGTTCTAACAAATTGGTTTTTAATGACACCAACAACCTTGCCTTCCTCCCCAGCTACTACATGGATCCTATGAACAGACTTGGAAGCAAAACTTTCAATCAGATTACCAAGAGTTGACTCCAGTTTGCATGTAATTGGTTGCATGACTTTTCTAATTTCGCTGGTCGTCGTGATGGTGCTCATGAAGTCCCTAACAGTGAGCTTCCTGAGAGAAATTGTTACACAAATTAAGTGGCCCATCAAAATGATTTTCGTCTGTCAAGTGATCAAGGCGAGCACTGTTTTTTTTCTTTGACAGAAATCAGTGTAAGAAGATTTATAATATTTTAAAACATTATTTGAGAATTCTGGCATTTGAATTGAATTGGTATTGATTTTTTTTCATATTTTTTTTCATTGAATTTTATTTTATATAACAATGTCATTTGTACTTTCCGCACATTTCTACCAACACATCCATTGCTGGTCACTGAAGCTGATACCGAAGTGTTCAAAGCAAACTAGAAGGGATCTGATTTCGAGAAGAAGGATTTGATTTATCTTTACAGCCAGTGCAAGGGGAATATGAATAGGTATTAGCTTTATTTATCACTGCATTTATCTTTTTGGTCATTTGGATTCCTGTTTCTGTTTGATACTTGCAGACTGTTCTATTCAATGATAGGTTGTGATGCTAAACTCGATTCATACCGTTTCAAGGAAATTCTTGTGAGGCAATAGCTACAAGTGCGCATATGTTTATTAAGCTTCAAGTTCATAGTGAAATTTCTGGGATTTTGGTTCATGTTTTAATTTTAGGTGCTTGGATATAGTGTTTATATTTATGTGATTGAAGGATGACATGGGTTTCGAATTACTCATTGAACATAGTCATTTTAGTTTCAGTTATTACATTGAATTTGCTCATTCCGTGGATTATATCTTTATGGTTCTAACAAATCTGAACTCAAAATATGAATTCATTCTTTTAAATCCTTGTTATATCCAAATGAAGTCAATTTCAGTCCTCCTACCACAAATTTAAGTCAGTGTTACTAGGAATCATCTTTTTCTGAGTTCAGTCCTGGCTTGCAAACCATGGCCGATTGGTTCTTAAAGACATTTAAAATAGAACCACAGGTGATAAGATTCACTATGAATGTTAGCAAGGTTCTAAAAAACGCTAGGCGCTAGTCGGATAGCAGGCTAGCACCTAGCGCCTAGGTGGCCTAGGTGGATTTAGGTAAATTTCTTGTATATCTTATAAATAAATGTATATTAACACATAAAAAATAAAATTATACTTGTATAAAATCCATGAATAAGATGATAAAATACAAAAGAGTATCAAACAAGTTCAAAATTTAAAAATACATTTAAGTATATATGCCATATAACTTAAGACATTTTAAATGATTATATCTAATTTTTCAAAAATAAAAGTAAAAATCCTAAGTAGTGGGTTGGGTGGTTCATAATAAAACTACTAGGAAGCCATGCTAGGCATTCCTTAACCAAACCATGCACATTGGTATCATCCCCAAAATCCTCTTTTTTATTTATAATTTTATTTGAGTTGGTGTCCCACTTTGAACTTTGGATCACCAAAACCGATCAGAAACCTATATAGGATATAGCCATTGATTCATTTGAAAGTTGAGCTACGCCTTTAAAAACTTGACTTTTGTGCCTTTGATGTCCATCCTGATTACATGTGTCCTTCAATGTTAGATATTTTTTATTTATTTTTTATTAATTTACAAAGACACCTATTAATGTTTTCGTGCCCTCTAGTTTAAGATATTTAAATAAAAAAATAGATTTTCGTGTCCATTTATACTTCTTCTCCTCAATCTTCACGCCTCACTCCCTCTTCTTAATTCCTCTCTCTCAATCCTCCCGCTCCTCTAACCTCTTTCCCTTTACCAATCCAACCAAACCTCTCCCACTTTACTTTTTTCCAAATTTTTCTTATTTCCTTATCTCTCTCTCTCTCTGGATTCTTCGAGGAGGTCTCGCCGCATCTCACTTCCTGGTCACAAATCTCGACTTTCCTTCTCTAATAATCGATGGACCTTCTTTTCATTTCCTCTTCTATTTTTTCCGTTTTCCCTCTGTAAATTCTCCCCCCCCTTTTTTTTTTTGTTTCCTCTTCTTCTGTTTTGAGCTGTAAGTTTCTCTTTTTCGATGGATTTCAAAGAGAGGGAGTTGCGACAGCTAAGAAAGTCGTGGTGCACAGAGAGGGAGTCGAAGCGAAATTTCTTCCCAGGAAACCATTTCGCTCCGTCCAGGCCACCTAAGAGCGCCTAAGCGGACGCCTAACAGCTCCCCGATTTTTCTTAATGATTCGGACCTAATCGGATCGACACACCTACGCCCAGCGCCTAGGCGAATTTTTAGAACATTGAATGTTAGATCACATGGCCCTTTTAGTTAGCCCCTCAAGCCTTACTACATGGCAATTTACCTATGATATATGCAAATAATATTCTCATATTTTGTTGGTATTTTACCTATAATGCAAGTAGGTAAATTAATAGGAAGTAGGTAAATTATGTACGTGATGCCAATTTACCTACATTTTTTATGTGAACCAAATATTCTAGACTGTATATGTATATAATTTACCTGTAGTTGGTTCTTTTCTTTTTCATTGTCCTAAAATTAATTTACCTGCAATTTTATCTCCATTAATTTATATATTTTTACTTTGACAACAATTTTTTTTTATATATTTTTAAAGTACAATAATTGCCTATATGTAAGGCCATTTCCAATTGAGGGCTGGCCAGATGACTCGTTTTAGCCCTCTAGCCCTCCAAGAAATTAATATTTTAATGAACAGTACAGGGTTATATTTGTCTCCGTTTCCAACCGAGGGCCAAAAGGCTATAGGATTCGTTTTAGTCCTGTCACAAAAAACCGTCTCCAACTAAAGGCCAAATATAATTTATTATTTAAAAACTACAAATTAAATTCAAATCCAACCGCTAAGTGACGTCAGTTAGCCGTTGGATTTGAAATTTTCTTTTGCTATAAATAGGGTGGATATTGGGTTATAATTCACACAACTTTGAATTCAATCTATTTCAATTCAAGTTTGCAATGAATTCCAACTTTGGATCCTCTTCGGATTCCAACTGGGGGTCCTCATCCAATTCCAAATTGAAAGCAAAATAGGCGCAAATGAGACGAGAAGATGAGGAGTCTGATGAAAAAGTTAAAGTAAGGCGCAACAAACAAAACAGAGTAGCAACCATGGCTGCGGCCATGGTGTGTCAGCCAACTGAGGAACAACCTCTATGGGGTGGCTCTATTGCTGGTCGCTCTTACAAACCACGAAACAGAGCGATGTCGCATGCCAATCTGATGAACTACTTTAACCCCAACTTGGTGTACACATAAGAGGATTTCAGACGTCGCTTTCGGATGAGGCGTCATGTCTTCGAGCATTTACTTCGTGATGTCCAGCAGGTTAATCCATACTTTTGACAGAAGCGGGACAGAGCAGACCATCCTGGTTTCTCACCTTATCAGAAGGTTACTGTTGCACTCCGAATGATTACCTATGGCTTCCCAACTGATTCGATGGATGAAACCCATGGTATGTCTGAGTCTACATGCCTTGATACTCTTGAACAATTCTGTGACACAATTGTTCAGGTTTACAAAGATGAGTACCTCCACAAGCCAAATCAAAAAGATCAAAATTGGCTTCTTTGCAAAGCTGAAACCCGTGGGTTTCCGGGCATGATAGGGTCATTAGACTGCATGCATTGAGATTGGAAGAACTGTCCCACCGAATGGCAATGAGGCTTTAGCGGAAGGTCGAGAAAGTCAAATTTTGTGTTAGAGGCGGTTGCCTCATATGACACATGGATCTGACATGCTTTCTTTGTAGTCCCTAGATCCCAAAATGACATTATACTTCTTGGGCGTTAACTCCTCTTCAATAACTTGACGGAAGGTAAAGCACCCCAACTTGACTACTACATCAACGACCGTCAATACAATATGGGGTATTACTTAGCAGATGACATCTACCCAAAGTGGGTGACACTTGTCCAAGCAATTCCAAACCCTAGGAATGACGCAGAAAAGTTGTTTACCTTACACCAAGAGGCATACCGGAAAGATGTTGAGAGAGTTTTTGGTATTCTACAAGCACGATGGAAGATCATTAGCGAACCGGCAAGAGGGTGGAGTCGAGAAAATTTGGACTCCATCATGATGTCTTGCATCATATTACACAATATGATAATGAAGGATGAGCGAGATGGGTATATTGATAGAGAGTCCGATGACGACCAAGAAGATCCAAATAAGTCAAGAAGGGCTCGTGCAAAAATATATGATGGGCCTAATTTTCCTTTCAATCCAAGAACTGGTAATATCTCTATAAATGAGTGCACGAGGTGCTATAGAATGATACGTTTTCGTGCCACAAACAAGTACCTACAACATGATCTTGTTGCACATCTTTGGGCCAAAAGAAGCATGACGTAGGCATTTAAGTTTTATGTTAAATGTTTTTAAAAATATTGTTTAAGTTTCATGTTGTTAAATGTTTTTTTTATGTTGTATAATTTGTATGTTGTTTCATGTTACTTAATTTAATTTAATGTTTTTAATGGCTTAGGAAGTTATAGGAAAAAAAATAATTTAAAAAAAATATGAAACAAATTTTGTGAAATAGAAGTTATAGGAAAAAAAAATATGAAACAAATTTTGTGAAATATGAGTTATAGGAAAATTTTTGTTAGCTAGCCGTTGCATTTGATTTTTTTTTTTATTTACAAAATTTTTCCTATAACTTCTATTTCACAAAATTTGTTTTACTTTATTTTAAATTCTATTTTTTTCCTATAACTTCTATTTCATAAAATTTGTTTCATATTTTTTTTTAAATTATATTTTTTTCTATAACTTCCTAAGCCATTATACAACATTAAATTTAATTAAGTAACATGAAACAAACATTAAACAATATGAAACAACATTAAACAACATTAACCAACATATAAATTATACAACATAAAAAAAAAACATTTAACAACATGAAACTTAAACAATATTTTTAAAAATATTTAACAACATAAAACTTAACGCCTACTCCATGCTTCTTTTGGCCCAAAGATGTGCAACAAGATCTTATTGTAGGTACTTGTTTGTGGCACGAGAATGTATCATTTTATAGCGTCTCGTGTACTCATTTATAGAGATACTACTAGTTCTTGGATTGAAAGGCAAATTAGGCCCATCATATATTTTTGCACGAGCCATTCTTGACCTATTTGGAATCCGATGAGGTGAAAAACCAGGGCGGCCTGCTCTGTCCCGCTTCTGTCGAAAGTATGGATTGATCTGCTAGACATCATGAAGTAAACGTTCGAAGACATGACGCCTCATCCGGAAGCGACGTCTGAAATCTAAGCAAAAAACTTATGTCAATGGGTTTTATTCAAGCAATAGGGCCAAACATAATTTATTATTTAAAAACTACAACTTAAATTTAAATCCAACGGCTAAGTGACATTAGCTAGCCGTTGGATTTGAATTTTTCTTTTGCTATAAATAGGGTGGATATTGGGCTATAATTCACACAACTTTGAATTCAATCTATTTCAATTCAAGTTTGCAATGAATTCCAACTAGGGGTCTTCATCCAATTCCAAATTGGAAGCTAAATGGGCGCAAATGAGACGAGAAGATGAAGAGTCTGATGAAGAAATTCAAGTAAGGTGCAACAAACAAAACAGAGCAGCAGCCATGGTGTGTCAACCAACTGAGGAACAACCTTAATGGGATGGCTCTATTGCTGGTAGCTTTTACAAACCACGAAACAGAGCGATGTCGCATGCCAATCTGATGAACTACTTCAACCCCAACTCAATGTACACGGAAAAGGATTTCAGATGTCACTTTCG